CACTGCACATGCCGCCCAGAGGTTGGGTAATTTTAGGGACCGAGAGGAGCGTGTGCGGGTGGTTTGTGTGTGTGAGGATACGGAGGAGAAGACCGGGGGGCTTTGGATTTGTTCCCTCAAACTCCTCCAACTTCCTTCTTTCTTTCAACTCAGACAGTCAGAACCATCTCACATCCCCCCAGGGATTCTACCCCGGAATCCCCGTCTCACTCAGAGCCCTGTAACCCTCTGTGGGCTGCCTTTTCCCTGGCATCGAATTTTGGCTCTCCACGCGCTGCCTCGATGTTTGCTCCTACGTCGTGGTTGAAATTCTTGAACCTATCTGGAAACCCTCGTCTGAAATTTCTGGCCTCACCCGTGTTCTGTTCAACGTGTTCGGATGCTCTTTTCCCAGGGACTCTGCGTGTCTGCTCAGGCTGGCCCCCTGCCTGTTAAGAGCGTCTAGGTCAGGTGCCAGGCTTGGCTCTCCTTTTTCTTTGCTAGTATGTACATTCTCAGCTCCTTTGCCCAAATACATTTCTCTGCCTCTTGTTTCCCGACCTTTCAGAGGTGTCCTTGGACTCTGATCCATCTGTATCTGCAGCTGTCTCTGCTTTTGTAAATTTGAACATGTTGTTAGGTTGCCCATCTGCTCATACTTCTTCTATTGTGGTTATCACTGGGGATTAAATTGTTCTTGAAACTAAAAATAACAATCCGGTTTTGAACTTTAAATCAAAGATCACGGAGAACTAAATTCATTGACCTGTTTCTGTTACTTTTTTCTTTTAAACTTTCCTATATGAAGTCCCTTTTGAACTCAGATGCTTTAAGCCAACACCAATCACAGTGAAAAATACCTTGTTATATGTATTTTACTTTAGGGGACTGATGGCAGAACTACTTCATACCTAGGAAAATAGAGAAAAAGTTTAATGTTGCTTTACTTTAAGTGACAAAAATGAAAATGCTCCTTTATTTGCCTTTAAAACTAGAGCCCTAACAGAAGTGTGTGAATGAACCGTGACACTTTACCCAGACTGCAGAACTCTCCTTAAAAAATTGAGTTTATTTTCTTTAAACACTGAAGGCCTTTTTATTCACTCAACAGATATTTTATCTGGCATCTACTGTGTTCCAGGATTGTTGTATATAGCAGTTAACACAGACACAAATCCTTACATCCTCACAGAGCATACATTCTTAACAGAATGTCTTGTTTCATATATGTTAGGAGTTGACATTCAGATAGTTAAAAAAAAAATCTTCAGAGAGCTCACGTATGTGGCACAAAATGATACATTGACAAAGTGATTTTATTTGAAAACCTGTGGTCATACGTGTGTGACCACAAAGTCTAAGAATTCTCATTTAAATTCCTTAAAAAATAGTTACCCAAATTACTGAAAAGTGGCATATACAAGAAATGGGGAGATAAATTAGGGGGGAAAGAATGCTTAAATGTTAATTATTTCAGGGAGGAAATATCGGCTTAGTCTAAATAAGTTTTGAAAGAACACAAAATTCATCAAAATCAGGGATTCTTGAACTTATCTTGGGTCAATGATCCCTTTAAGAATCTAACCAAAGCTATGGAGTCTCTCCGCACAATGTATCTCTGCAATATGTGTATAAAAATAATAATAAAATTTCAGGTGAATCAGAATTCCTGAAGCCCAGTCTGTGGACCCTCAAAGACCTTGGGCTAAGGAACATCTGCTTTGACTAGGAGTCCATTTTGCAGTTATTAAAAATCTCTTGTCTGATTAATACTTTACTATAAAAGTATACTCATTAAAAATGTTTATAATAAGAATATTTAATATTGAGTAGGAAATAGTCACATTACACTGACCCTGAATTACTCCTTATTGCGTATAATAGCATACCTATAAGGATATACTCTCCTTGTTCTTTTTTGATGAAACCTAAAACATGGTGATATGATTCTACATGGAACTATTCAGACAAAAGAGTAAACGTAATCTTAGGAATTGATGCTGAATAACAGTAAAGAGAACAGAACTTCTGGCTTGCAATATACCCATGTCGAGCTGAGAGTCAGCTACTGGACTTCAAGACATTCTTTGTATTTGGAGATAAAATGAAGTTATTTAGTTAAGTGAGGGCATTTAAATAAACAGTTAGCCTTATCATTACTCCAGCTATGGCATCAGGCCTAAAAGAAGATAAATGTTAGCATTCACGTTTCTGTGTATTTTCTTTAATGCTAGCTTTGGAATGTAATCAAATCAGTGGAAATAGAGGCATTACCTAAATTTCTAATCAATATGAAAATATTTTGGTGGTGGGAGGGAAGATATTTAGCCAAACAACCCTTACTCATAGATGATATCCTGGGGCGGGGGTGGGGAGATGGATAGCTTGAATTCCAGCCAAAACTCAGAAATTGTGGGCATATTTACAAAGCAGACCTCAGGCAGTGATACTAGGATACTAGGGTACATTTTACTTACTAAAATTTGTTTTTATTTCCATGTGATTTTTGTCTACTTGGCTCTGATGAAATGATTCAATAAACTAATGGAAAATTAGAAAGGGAAGAGTTTCAAAGGAAAAGGGGCCAGAATATAAATGAGAAGTTATAAGCATATTTGTGCATTTGGTCTAGGTGACAAAAGGTTTTTGCCTTAGGTGCAGGGATAACCATAGGTACATGGAGTTGCTAGCATGATGAATCTAAAATCTTTTTTCACTCAGGTAACAACCAAGGAAATTTTAATGGAGTAAAGTTTTGAATGTTAAATTTCAAATATATAACAGATAGTATATTATGGAAGTAGTTATAAAGTTTGAATGAAAGCAGGCCTGTACTTATTCGCCTGCAGTGTTCTTTGCATGGTTCCCATTGATTAGGAGTATGAGTCCTAGAATGTTACTGTTTGAAAGTCTAACTTGGGTTCTTCCGTATATAAGTGTAGAGTTCTACATATTTGTGATATAGTGTTTAACATAAAAGCATAGACCGTAAGGGATTTAAAAGTTGCAAATGGATATTAAACCTCTTTTGTTAAAGGTAATGGTCAATAATAAGAATATAATTTAAAATATCTATCAGTAAGAATATGTTAATATTCACAAAATCGGTATCACAATGAGAATTGGCTGTGATTTATACAACTTCAGTGTAATAATTTTTCTTTCTTTAAACGGGGCAGGAAGCCCTATAAAGTAGAAACCTGATTTAGTGGTAGCTTCTATTTCCATTTCATCCCGAAAGCAGTGTCTACATGGCTTATGTCCAAGTTTTTAATAGTGTGTTTGTGATATGTTATGTGCCAAACAAAGATTTCAAAGTAACAATAATAAAAGAAATATGTAAGACACATCTAAGAAATTTTTTGAAAATCTAAAAACACCACGTAAGGAAAAAGTCAAGGGAATCTTGTAAATCGAAGAAATAATGTAATATACCACATATTTGAAATTTGTTTCAGTTGCCGTTCTGAGCTACATTAAAATGGTTGAAAGTGTGGAACTCTTGACATTGCTATTATATTTTTAAGGGAAGTGAAGTACCTTGCAGGTATACCGTTATCCAGATTGGGTATTCATTCTGGAAACTTCTAGTTTACGGATAAGAACTGAGAAGAATCTAATGGATCGGGTACCTTCCCTTAGGGATTACTTGAAACAATCTCCTCAGAAGAGGTGATTGAAGAAAACAGGGTTTTCATGAACTGCCTTTTGTGGGAAATGAAGTGACATTCCTTCATTTGCCTACACACTATTTTCACTCTGAGTGTTCTATGTGCTAGGGAAACTGTAGAGCAGGGATAATTTATTTAGCATGAGTAGGCTAAGACTGGCTATGCTTTCAAAGTCACAACCAAGTTTTAGAACTTGTTACAGGAGTCTTTGAAGAGCAGGTACAACTGAGGTTAAATTTTTATGGAGTAATAAATACCTTCACTTTGAGGCATTAATTGCCCAGCTCTTGCACATGAAGCTCTTTTAGGGTATCTTTAAGCAATCAGTGTCTGCATCAGAATGAGAACTCTATTCAGCCCTCTTCAGATCACAGGATGGGCATGGGTGTTCAACAGTGCATTTCAGTTTAACCACTCCACCTGGACTTAGGAACATGGTGCTATATAAAACTTGAAAGCCTGAAGTGTGAATACAAACATAATTGACAAACTAAATTTTGTTATGTGGTGTGCTAAAGTGAATAGAATATTAGCATAGTAATCATACGATTTTGACTTTGGCCCTAGCTCATGATTTTGGGTCTCACTTTCATTATAGGAGGAGTCTGAACTAGGTTTATTCTTCCAAAGTGCCCTTTGCTAGGTGTTCATGTCTATGCTGACAAACCATTGGACTCATCAGTGACCAAACAGGTTGGGCTAAAGGCCATTATTTTGATTATTTTTCTCTTAAAGAATTCCTTTCACAACGATATGTTCTGTGTAGATCTAGAATTACATATTTACAAAGCCATAACGGCTCTTAAAGTTTATTTTGCCCGGCTCCTTCCCTTCCTAAAGAAGACAACAGAAGCTGGAGAAGTAGCTTCCATCAGTTTGTATTTCAAGGCAGCAATCTCCTGTCTCTGAAGATTCAAACCAGCACATTTTACATTTTAATCAGCAATGTGGATGTATAGAATTGGGATTGAATATTGTTTCTTATAACCCCTTAGAACTGTTAGTTTTGACAGAGCAATCAAATTATTGTTGAGAGTAAGATTGCAACTAAAAAGAAACAAAACAAAACTTCAATAGAATGCTAGTTTGGAGGACCCTTAAAGGTCATGTCAACTGAAAAAGTAGAAGGTCATAACTGAAAAAATAGGAATGGGTACTGAAGGACAGGAACACGCTGAAGAGATTCAGTGCTTTACTGAAGTGTGAAGAGTCCCTACAGCCTGGCGGGGACTTTTTGCCCTATTTAAAACTACAGCTAAGTTTAGAGTTCTCTGTGGATGACAAGAGGAATCTGTCATTTTAGTGTCTTCTCCCCCAAGCCCTCCCACACCAACAAAGGTTCTTTGACGCTGAGCGTGCACACCCGCCGCGAGGCTGCTATTCCCAAGTGCCCGCTTAGCCAGCTCGCTTGGGACGAGCTGTGAGCGGGTGGCGGCAGCCTGTTGATCCCATTTCCTCCGGCTCTGGTCCGGGTTAGGGAGTGGCTCTCCCAGGACCTCCAATGTTTTCGTGCTCGGGCACTGGTGTTCACATGGTTTCAGTGCATTGTTTGCTTCCAGGCAGTCTCGGTTAGCGCTTCAGTTTAGGCATTTATTTTGCATTCTGTGGTCTTGGGCTGCGTGTACTCTCTTGTTTCTGCGCTCTCTCCACGCCCTTCCCAGTTTCCTGTTAGCCAAAGGGATCGCTCTTTCTGAACGAAAAGTTCTCAGAGCGGAGTGGAACCTCCCGGAAAATGCTCTTCTCTTCCGTGTGCGCCGGATGGAGGTGGGGGTGGGCCAGGAACTAAACACCGCGGTCGGGAGAGCTGAAAGGACCCGAACCCCGAGGCAGAGGCGGGAGAGGTATGGTTCATCGGAGATGCGCTGAGGGGTCGTGAGACGGGGGACAAGGGGCAGCGCCCATCCATCTGGGGGGCGGAAGGGACTTTTATTCAGCGGGAACTGTGCGGCGAGGCCCAAGGCTCTGGAGAGATTCTAGGTCTAGGGGGTGGCAGGGTGTACCCAAGGGAGTCGGGAGGAAGCTCTAGGTTCCCTTTCTACTCCAGGGGCCGTTCTTGCCCCGGCTGCCCGTGAGCCGAGGGAGGGAGCATAGCCACTGCCCGGCTTGCGGGGCTGGGCTGCGGAGGTTTCCTGACCCTCCCCCGCCCCCCACTCCCGTCCATCCTGGGGACCCCAGGCCCCAGGGGGAAGTGGTAGTTTGCCCCTGTCCCTCTGTCACTCCCATCCTCTCCACCCGTGCAGGTCGTATTCTGGGTCAGGAACCCTGTAACATCCCGAGGCTGGGTGCGCAGGGGTCCCAAGCGGGCCGGGGTCCGCGTCCCCTGTGCCCCACTGCGCTCGCCGCTCTGGCCGGAGCCGGGCGGAGAGGCCTGGAGGGCCGCTGCTGGGAAGGGGTCTGATCCCGCGCGCCCCTGCTCCTGCGGGGGCGGCTGGGGGAGCTGAAGATGGCGGCTGCAGCCGGGCGCGGGGCTCTGGGCCCGGCTCGGACCGAGCGCACCCACTGACCGCCGCCGCCGCCCCCACCGGGCGGTGCTGTGTCCCCGCAGGAGTCGGAGAGGATGGCCGGGGCCGGCGGCCAGCACCACCCTCCGGGCGCCGCGGGAGGAGCGGCCGCCGCGGCCGGCGCCGCGGTCACTCCCGGCGCTGCCTCGGCGGGGCCCGGAGACGATTCCTCTGACAGCGAAGCGGAGCAAGAGGGACCCCAGAAACTGATCCGCAAAGTGTCCACCTCGGGGCAGATCCGGACCAAGGTGAGGCGGGCCTAAGGGCAGCGTGGAAGGCGGGCGGCTTCGGGGCGGGGACGAGGAGCGAGGGCGCCTGGGGCGCTCGGAGCGCGCCGGCGATCCCGGGGACGTGGGGCACAAGGTGAGGGCGGGGCCTGGCCCGGGGGCGGGGCCGGCGGTGCTGGACCGCCGCGCGGCAGGAAGGGATTCCCGGCCCGGCGAGGGAGGCGGTCCGGGTGGGCTCCCGGGGAGCTCGGCGGCCGACTTGGAGGAGAAGGAAACCAGCGGCTCGGCGGGAGCGTGGGAAAATGCTGAAGCGCTCTTGAGAGTTCCCACTCAGGGAACTTAGAAGGACTGTTTTATTTTTTTGTCCTCCCTGCGTGCAGTGGTTGGGTGGAGTATGTGCCTTGCGCAGAGAGCCGAGTGCAGGCCGACCAGCCAAAGATGCAAGAAGCCCCCCACCTTCCCTTCCCGCGGGCAGCAGCTGTCTCCTCCCCAGGACCACTCCGAAAGGGTGGGTGGGGAGGTGACAGCAAACAGCCCCCTTACCTCCCGCAGAAGCCAAGGCGCGACGCCTGTGTAAATGATGCTGGCAGTTAAACATACCCTGCGAGACACATCAGCAAGCCAGGCTATTGAGTCGTGGGTTCCTGCTGAGTGCAGGGTTCAGATCTTACCAGCCATGGTTATCTTAATGAAGATTAACCTCTTTGTGTTATATGGACATTAGCAAGCTGTGTTACTCTTATTTATGTAGCAGGTGCTTTTGACCCCCGAGGGCTCAAAGTTGAGAGTTTTAAATAGATCTTGAGCATATACATAGGAAATGCTTGCCACACTGAAGGATTATTCATATTTTTCAGTTTTCATCATACTTTAAAAATCATCATACTTTAAAAGTCTGTTATCACTGGGGTACTTTAATGAGTTATTTGAAGAGAACCAATGAAATTATTGGGTGTGCTCTCTTTAAAAATAAATTTGCAAAAGTTAATTCTGTAGTTAGTTTTATGAGAATTTGTTTTTTAAGGTCCGTGGACTCCTATATGAGAGTAGAACTTTTATTACATGTTTATGAAATCATGCTTTTATTAGCCTGCCTCCTTATTTTCTAAAATAAATACATGTAAGCACACGCAAGTGTTAACAAGATGCACTTAGCAAAGAGTCAAAGATTGCTTCGGTCATTTTTTTTTTTTTAACTGCCCATCCTGTAACTCATTTTAATAGTGACATTTCTTCATTTAATAGAATCTATGATAACTTAAGGATATGGGTTTAATATATTTTTAGAAGATAACGGCTAAACAAGATAGGGACTTTCTAACAGTGCCTTTAACATTTGAAATCCTAATTTTAAAAAAGTTTATAAAACTGTGTTACTAATGGGCAAAATGGTAAGTTTAAAAAATGGCATATTTTATAGATTCTTATGAAATGGTTAAAATTCCATGCAAACATATCAGAATTTACCAGTACATTTATACTGCTTGAAAGAAAATTTAGAGATGGCTCTAATTTGAGTTAGGTTACACAACAAATTTGGGGGTGGGTACAATTAAAATTTGTAGGTCTCAGGAATTCATGGTAATAGCTAAGTTCATATTCTTTAAATTTTGTATTATCTATGGTTTGGGGTAAAGCATGTTTTTGAGACTAAGAATAAATTCAAAAAGCACATTTATTATTGGTTTTCCATTTAACTTTCTAATAAAAATATTTAGTGCATGATTTTTTCCATGATTAGAGAGTGATCGTTAAATGAAATATTTCTTAAATTTCCCAAGATGTATTGAATTTCAGAAATTCTGCATTTTATACTAACTCATACAAATGTTTACAAGTTCATCAGCATTTTCATATACGAACACGTGAGATCCAGGCCTAAAACTCCTGAGACTGGTGAGCCTCAAACTCTCCGCCTGCCCCCCCACCTCAATCCAGACTGTTCATATATGCTACAGATTTCATCAGTTATATCTTTTTATCACACATACTGATTCTCAGGGAAGAGAGCTAGGGTAGGAAGGGGATTCATAAAGTGAGAACTGCTAAATTTGATCCAGGGAAGAGTTAAGGGAAAAGATCTTTTAGAAAAAGACTATACTTGCTTGATCATCTCCACAGATAGGCAAGATGGGAGAGTCTGGAGGAGAACGAGGCTGGGACTAGCCCAAGGCCTAGTGGTTTTTGAGACAGAAAGCAGTTCTGGGGCGCTTGGGTGGCTCAGTTGGTTAAGCCTCTGGCTCTTGATTTCGGCTCAGGTTGTGATCTCAGGTCATGAGATCGAGCCCTGTGTTGGGCTCAGCACTCAGCATGGAGTCTGCTTGAGATTCTGTCTCTCCCTCTCCCTCTGCTCCTCCTCTGCTCATGCTCTCTCTCTCTCTCAAAATAAATAAATCTTAAAAAAAGAAATCAAAATATTTCTTAAATGAATAACTTAAATGAATAATCTATATATTATACACTTATATGTAATGCTTCATATATATGGATATTATTATGAAAACATGGTACTTACTTTAGTTTCCTTTAAGAGCCTTATGGTCATGAAGTTGTTTGGTGAGTTTAGGTTTGGGGTAAAAAAGGCCACCAAAGTAATGACCTTATTTAAAATGTTCTTTGTTGTAAATACTGGTTAATGTTTTAAATAATTTGAATAATCTCAAATTAATTGTGGCATTTGGAAAGTATCCGGGTTTTTTCTTACTTGAAATAAGAATGCATGCATATAAAAGGATATTCAAGAGTGTGAGAGGATATTCAGTGATGGGAGGGTATTCAGTGGAAAGTAATCTCCCTCTCACTCCAGACTTTCTAATCTTCATCACAGAGGCAACTGTTGACATATTTCTTGGTATGCTTCCAGAAAATGTCTATGAACATACATATGTTTCTTTAAAAAGTACAAATGGGAACATTCTGTACACAATGCTGTGTCTTGTTTGGAGTTCTAATACGATCATTTCCCTAATGGCGTGTGCACATCTACCTCATTCTTTTTAATGGTGGGAAAGTATTCCATTATGTTAGGTTGAACTAAATGAATTTGCTAGGTTAGTAGGTCAAAAATGGTCAAGGGTAGGTCAAAAATGATCAAGGGCCTGGGAGGTCTGGGAAATGGGAAGATGTTGGTGAAAGGGTACAAACTTTCAGTTATAGAATGAATAAGTTCTGGGAATCTAATGTGCAGCATAGTGACTATAGTTAATAATCCTGTATTGTAGCCTTGAAATTTGCTGAGAATATATCTTCAGCATTCTTACTTTTTATTTTATTTATTTAGTTTTTTATTTATTTATTTATTTATTTATTTATTTATTTATTTTTAAATGTTTTATTTATTTATTCATGAGAGTCAGAGAGAGAGGCAGAGGCAGAGGGAGAAGCAGGCTCCTCGCCTAGCAGGGAGCCTGATGTGGGACTCGATCCCAGGACCCTGGGATCATGACCTGAGCTAAAGGCAGACGCTTAACCATCTGAGCCATCCAGGTGCCCTAGTTTATTTTTTATTTTTATTTGAGACAGAGAGAGAGAGAGAGCACAAGCAGAAGGAGAGCCAGGCAGAGGGAGAAGTAGGCTCCTCGCTGAGCAAGGAGCCCCATGCGGGACTCAATCCCAGAACTCTGGGATCATGACCTGAGTTGAAGGCAGCCACTTAATAGACTGAGCCACGCAGGCATCCCAGCATTCTCACTTTTTAAAAAAGATTTTATTTATTTATTTGAGAGAGAGAGAGAGAGCAGGGGGAGGGGCAGAGGGAGAAGGAGAGAGCTTCTCAAGCAGACTTCCCCCTGAGCGCAGAGCCTGACTTGGGGCTTGATATCATGACCCTGAGATCATGACCAGAGCCAAAATCAAGAGCCAGATGCTCAACTGACTGAGCCACCCAGGCATCCCTAGATTTTAAGCATCCTTAAACACAAGCACACACACACATTAATTATGTGAGGGGCTGGTTATGTTAATTAACCTAATTGTGGCAATTATTTCACAATATGTATGTCTATCAAATTATCACGTTGTATACTTTATATATAATTTTGTTTGTCAGTTATATCTCAATAAAGCTGGAAAAAAATGGTTGAATGTGGGAAATTTCATTTGGTTCAGCCTAACATGATATATCATCATTTAATTACCCATTTCTCTATGGTAGGAAATATGGGTTATTTTAGGACAACACTAATCTCAGTTTTTATTGTTTTTTTTTTGCAGTGGATATGATGACTCTTAAAGTAAAAAATAAGACTGGCATGCTTTTAAAATTAGTGTGATTTAATAATTAAATTCTCCTGTACATTTTAGTACCCTCCTCACATCCCCATTTTGTATACTCTTTGTTCTCCTTTTCATTTTTTTCCTGTTTCTTTGTCCTTGGTTTGTACTATTTTTCTATCTCTCTGTTTTTCACTTTTTTCCTTTCTCTGTATCAGCTAAGTGGAATTTTGGGTAGTCTCAGCTAGCTAGCCAGGTGCTAAACAGAAGATAATTTTATGGCTGCCTCTATTTCCCCAAAGGAAAAAAAATCCCTTAATTAAAAAAGTGGAAATGGTGCTGATGTGAGAAAGCCAATGGGAGTGTAATTCATCCCTTGTCTTCCTCTCTCCTTGTCCTTGGCTCTCATTCCTAATTCTTAGTTCTGTGTTAAGGAGAAGGTTGATTTTACATTCAGCTTTACTGTTACAGAGAATTTCACAGGTATTTATTGAAAACGAGACATTCTGAAACAGCACTAATATAAACTCAGACCACCTTGGTTTTGAACATGAATGTGAAAGAAGCTTTGTTTGCTTTTTGTTGGCTGATGAATACTGTGGCCCATGAATACAGGGACTGGCTGGAGGAACCTCGGTCAGATTTGTAGACTAAGATTGTTCAACCATCGTAAGCCACATGGTATCAACAAGTGAACCATCTCAGTGACTTTTTCAGACAAAAAAAAATGACTCATCTTGGCAAAGGTCTTAAAGCTTCATGTGTCAAAAATGTCTCCTAATTAGGTTTATTGTGCTCTCATTGATCTG